GTTGCTTACTTTCCAAGTAAGGGGGCTTAACATGTACCAATCTTTGAGCATTATCAATGTCCTGTCTTGACAATACAATGACTAAGAACGATTTAAAGAACATGGCTTTGATGTATAGTGATCTTATAATTATAACAACTTTACAATTCTCTTGCAAGGCCTTTATGTTCCATGGGCATCATCCAATTAGAACTTAATAACTCCTTATTATTGTACTAACATGAAGAAAAACCTCTATCACATATAGTTATTAAATATGCATTAAATAACAACATATATTTCTTAACCAATCTAATTGGCTCAAAGGCATCTACCAACAGACTTTTTACTACAAGTGCTTGTATAGCAATCGCAAGGCTCACTACAATATTTTTTATCTGTGGTTGCAAAACAAAAAAAACTTATAGCCATAAATAAAAAATCTGCTCCCTTAGATTAAGGCTGCATTTAAAAAAAGGATAACCTTAACCAATATATGGAAAAATCTAATTGCATTTCTTTATATGATTTTACAGTAGAATTAATATGCAACCATATAGCATATGGGTGCAATCCTCAAACCTATGGCATCATTTAAATATACAGCTAAAAAATATATATATAGCAATACATACAATATTCTATATGCAACAATAACAACCTATAAAGAACAAACCATGCAAATTTTAGAGCAAACTTCAATATATATTAAACCTAGCAATTTTAAATGTAACATGTTAACATAACACGAGAAGATACAAGCTTAAGCAAGTTTGGGTTTAACCTTAATGTATTTCGTGTCTAATCATGTCTGACACATTTAAGACACAAAATGTTGGTATTTGGGTCAAGTCAGATAGTTAATGCCACCACTTAAATCTAGGTTATGAGAATTGAACTCAAACTCAAGAATCGGTATACTTTACTTACTTGGTCATTTAGCACGTTGCACATGCTTGAGAATTCCAAAATTCCAACTGATGGTATCAATGTTGATTTCCAAATGTCAATATAAGATTTAATTAGCTGCACTAATGTAACACTTTTATATATCAATTATGCAACTAATAATTATGTCAAACGTTTCAATTATTGTCAAGCATTGACAAAAAATACACCTCCCCAACAGTTGTATCCTTCTTTCCACCATAAAAAACTTCACTGCATAGCAAAGTATAATTTGTAGTCAAACATAACAACATGGGAGAAGGTGAAAAAGCAAAAACTTGACTTTGAGATTAACTAATTAGCATTACTTCCAAAACAACCAAGCATGCATATCGCATCATTGCAACTAGCCACTACTATAGAAGGGAACTAAAGCATTGCTTGAAGTTAATATAAGCAGAGAAATACAATAAAGGAAAAAAAGATTCAAATAATAATAAACTAGTAAGTACAAGTAGAAAATCTATAACCCCGAGCTAATCATGTATGAAGGATGCTAAATAAATAAATGAAGTTAAAAGGATTTTAGACTTTACCATAACTAAGAAGAAGGGGGAAGGAATTTGAGAAGTTTGTCTTACTTTCACTCTCTATGCTTAGGGTAAGAGTGAGAGAACTTCAAATTGTTGTTTAAGGTCGAGCCCCAAACTCGAGAACAAGGCCAACTCCTAGATATATCTTTGCTTATGGAAGAGTTAAAATTACTTTTCCCATGCTTTTTACATTTGTTTCACTTCAGCATCATCTAAAAAAGTTTAAATTTCACCAAATTATGCTATAATATAAATGACAATAACATCTCAAAAACTGTAGAATCCGACCAAATTAAAATTTGATAGAAAATGAAAACTAAGCTACCAAAGTAGTAGTTGTGATTTCCTCCATTTGGTGGGCTTTTTTTTTTAATTTTCCTCTATTTTGTGGCTACTGGTTAATGATGCATGAGAAAAATAAAATAAACCTGGTTTCGATTTACACATCCTAATTATGTTTCTTACCTAACTTAATCACCTTAAGTCAAAATAATAAAGAATCCTGTTATTAGCTTTAAGCAATGTATATGCAAAAGAAACTCTGCTAAACATAGATAATTGACAGTAGTGAAGGTTGGATGTTGTTTGCTAAAATTACAAACCTCTAAACCAGTAGCCACCCTTGTAACCACTCTATAGTATAATGAATCAAATTTCTATGGCAAGAATTTACTGATTTACCAGACTAAGGAAGCTAGTTTAATTAACAATAATAGGTTATGATATTACATGGGGTTGAGTTGGAGGGAGAAAAGACGCAAGAAGTTACTCTACCAATAGGAATTTGTTATGAACTTTGACCAAATTTTGTATCACAAAATTAACTACTCATATTGGAGAGCTTTAATAAAAAGAGAAGAGATTGGAAGAAAAGAAACAAACATATCTGTCTTAAGAAAGTCTCTATAGCTGTTTCTTTCCTCCCCCTCCTCCTAACTTTGCTGCACCCCTCTTCCTCTCTCCCATTCACGGTTGATTTCTTGAAAGAAAAATAGCCATTAATTTTTAGGAAAAAAAGAGAGACAAATCGATTGTCATCTTGTAGTTTAGCACTCCACACCATCGAAGTAATTCACATGGCACGGCCACGTCATCATGTAATTCACACATACTTTGCCACATAATCGAAGTTTGCCACGTCAGTGCTGATTAACTGTCAAAATGGACGTCGTTAGAGAGATGGATTAAATTGGAGCAATTTTCAAATTTAAAGAACTAAATTACTTCGATTTTGAATACAATGACTAAATTAGACAAAATAAGAAAGTATAGGGACTTGATAGGTCTTTTGACCATTTGGTATGGCACTTAAGTTAAGGAATTAATTTTTAAATGATTATAATTAAAATTGAAAATGAAATAGCACCTTACTAGAATTAGAAAAGTATATCGAATACAAGTAATATCGAAATGAGAATCTTTACCTTGCTTAAATTGTTGGGTTTAGAAAATAGACAGTTTGATCTTTGTTTTAAGAGTAAATTAGACTTCCTAGCTACCATTAACAATATAACGTAGACACAATACAAAATAAAGTATTAATCAAATATTATTTGCAATTATAAGCTTGATTAGTTTCTTGTATCCAACGTCCCAATCTAACTTCGCTCAGCCGTATGCAATACTCTTATTTAATACCTCACCACATGTGGTCACCTTTCCGGAGGCTAAGCTTTGGCAACAAATTGCGTTTCACGGAGTAACGAAATTCGGAACTTACTTGCATTTGTTGGCTTAAGACTTGAGATAGTGGACCCCTTGATATCTTTTGCCGAGTCAAATTAAACAATTTTGTTGTTGGATTAACAAAATTTCTTGGACCTAATCAAACGTACCTATGGCATCAATCAAATATTAATGCTTCAAAGAAGTAATCTTGATATCAATTGGCTATCCACTAAATTACATCTGTCAATCTTCAAGTTTTAGCTTAGACCAACTACATTCTTTCATTTTAAAAACCACTTATTTATTTAATATAATACTCAAAAAAATTTCTTAACTTCTTAAGAAAATTTAAATAACTTATTTTTTTATTCTGTTTAATGAAGTTTTTATACCTTTCTTTTAGATCAAATAAGTTTTTATAATTAATGTTGATTAATTGTCATCAGTCAAAATATTACTAGATATTTTATGCTCGCGTGGTATTAATATGGAAAATGAAAAATGTTACATAGTCACGCCATTATTTATTATAACATGCCAATATATTACATTAATATCAAATAATATAGAATGACAAGTGACATTTTAACTAAGTCAATAATTCATTTTTATTTGACTCAAAATAAAAAATATATAAATTTAATTTGACATAATAAAAAATAAAAACTTAGTTAAATTTTATTTTTAATAGTGTAGAGGCTTTTTTAAATATTATACTTATTAATTTTTATAATTTCAACATTACAATGAGATGACTTTTCGTCAATTTGTTTATTAATAATGGCAGTTGACATTCAGAGCTTCAAAGTACCAAATGCAGCCCCTCACACCAAATGGACGAGGCTAGATATAGCTCCCAAGCCGCATCCGGCGAAGTAAAAAGCCGCCTCCGCTCAAATTGCTACCATCAGTAATTGAGGAGGGATAAGCACCTCCATTAAAACTAATTAAGAAGGAGGACCACCATCGTAAAGGCGGACTTTACGAATTCTTCACAATATTTATCAATAAATGCTTTATCTTTAAATAAGTGTAATTTTAGCATCATACCGTTAATTTGATTTAAAATTAATCAAAAGTTAGGTACAAAATATTCTAAAACTAAATATAGAATATTTTAACTTTTAATTAGATTTTAACCAAATAAAAAAGAATGACGATATAATTACAATTGTTTAACCAAAAAAAAGCACATTCTTTGTGTCACCTTGAGATGCATCTATACCTCATTTTCATATTATAATAAATTATTTAAACGTTCAAACGTATTTGTTTCAGTATTGGAAGTGACGCATATTTATTTTATTAAATTTTTATTTCATTTTTACAGTCAATATTTGGCTATTCACATATTTCTATGATGCTAAAACGAACCCCACTGCAAATGCGAACGACCGCCAGTTGCATTCATATATTTTTTATGATCCTTAAGATATTCACTGACGTCCATAAAAATCATTAAAATTTCAGTTTTTAATAATATTGAAAAGGTTAGGGTATAACTAAGCTCAAATTTGTTACCGATTGATGAAGGCAAGTTGTTGCATCCAATCTTTTTAGGGACGGATACAGCGGCGGCTATGTTGAACTAATTTCTATCTTTGAAAATTCCACAGATGCATGCATTTGATTTATAGGATTAAATTTTTTAGACCTTGTATCCATATAATATCTTTCTCGTCTTTTCCCATTAACATATAAACCCCTTAACCGCTAAGGCACAAGTCGTCCCTCTGTTTCATATTCTCCTCTTCTCTCCTTGCTGGGTTTCGCATTTCCTAGCAAAAAAAAACACACATGACTTCACCCGGAATTTCCGCTATGGCATCACCCTGCGGAAGGTAATTCTCAATACTCTCTCTGTTTGTTACTTTGAAACTCAAAACATTACGCCGATGAACTTATTTATGTAGTCGTTTCTATTCAGAAGAAAAAATCTTCTTCTGTTAAAAAGAATTCTACCATTTTCCCACTCTGAAATGGTATGATCGTCAAAATTTTTGAACGAAAGAATTAGTATTTGAGAAATTATCAGTATGTCTATCTGTTCAATTTAATTTGTTATATTTGTACAAAATTTTGCCATTTACAATGAATTCATAAGCTTGCATGAATAATTAATATCTATCAAGTTAATTACCAATAGATCATCTGGGGCCTAATATCTATGTTTTGAATGATATGTTACACCCCGGTTTTGTCTTGTCAAAACTTTCAAGGTTACAGGGCAAAGTGGCAGTCATAACTGGCGGCGCTAGCGGCATTGGAGCCAGCGCAGCTCGCCTTTTCCATGAAAATGGTGCCAAGGTTGTAATTGCCGATATCCAAGATAGCCTAGGACAAGCCCTTGCCGACGAGCTTGGTGAAAATGCTTCCTACATCCACTGTGACGTTTCAAATGAGGATGATATTAGCAACCTTGTTGACACCGCCATCGTCAAACATGGAAAGCTCGATATAATGTACAACAATGCAGGCGTTTTGGATCGTCCGTTCAGCAGCATCTTGGAGACTACAAAATCGGACTTGGATCTCGTTGTTGGTGTAAACTTAGCGGGAGCTCTTCTAGGAGCCAAACATGCTGCCAGAGTCATGATCCCTCAGCGAAAAGGTTGCATACTTTTCACTGCTAGCGCTACTACAGCAATTGCAGGGATGGCAAGCTATGCTTATACAGCATCAAAATATGGGATAGTGGGTCTAGCTAGGAACTTGGCAGCTGAGCTAGGCCAATACAGTATAAGGGTAAATTGTGTGTCGCCTTTTATTGTTGCGACTCCCATGTCTGCACCTACCGACGGTGACATTCCAAAAGTAGAAGCAATTTCCAGTGCAATGGGGAATCTCAAAGGGGAAGTGTTGAAGGCAGAGGGAGTGGCACAAGCTGTGCTTTATTTGGCTAGCGATGATGCAAATTATGCGAGCGGGCTCAACGTAGTGCTGGATGGAGGGTTCAGCATTGTTAATCCTACCATGATGAAGGCTTTTAAACTTGTTCCATAAAATGAAAAATCTGGATGTGGAGGGCGCTTTCTTATCTCTCATACAGTCATAATTTCAGTCCTGTTGGAGATCCTTGCTGTTCAAACAATGGGGTGTACCAATAGGCAATAGAGATGTTACTTGGAGGTGTTTCATTAATGTTCTTTATTTACATGGCACGCCAAAATTAGAGGGTGCAAAAATATTTAAATTCAAGTATTTCAATAATGTTATTTATAATATATAAAAAAGTCAACGGTTGATGAAAATAGACATGTTTACTCATTATATTTCTAAATTGCCATCGTAAATTTCTTTCTTGAATTTAACAAAATTTATCCAAATTTTAAATAACAATTCGAATGACTTTCTTTCAAAAAATTTTAAATTCTTATACTAATGTTGAATAATTTATATATTAATACCACAAAATTTCAATTATTTATATATCAAACTTTACACTTTAGTTATATATAATTATTATTTAAAAATAAATAAAAATTAAGAATTCATGTGTAGCCCACGTATCAACAAATACCAGCACACATAAAACTAAAAATGTTGAAAAAAATTTTGATTCATGAAAATGATCATATTTATTCATTATATTTCTAAATTGCAAATTGAAATATTCATTTGTTATTGTTGTTGTCATTTGTATTTGCAAATAATTACTTATTTATTACCTTTAAATAATAATTATATATAATTATAATGTTTCTAAATGTAAAGTTTGACTTTTAAATCATTAAAATTTTATAATATTAATCTATAAATTTTAAAAAATATTCTTTAATGGAAGTTATTTAATGCAATTAAAATTTCATTCAAAGGTTAGATAAATCTTATGAACAATTATAATAAAAATATTATTAATGAAAGTCATTTAATGCAATTAAAATTCTAATTTGTTAAATTGATAAATCATTTTTAAGAGAATAAAATTTATATTCAAATCATATGAGGAAAACAGATCCCCAACATGTCATACATCAGAATTTCCCTAACTCCAATAGGTGGAGAATGAAAAACCGAAAAGACTTCCTCTAATTCAATGCCTTTATTAGCCATGAAATCTACTAACTTGTTACCTTCTCTATAAATATGGCAAATCTTAACCTCCCATTGACGAGTAAGTAAACTATGTACTACACTAATCAAATCGGAGTTAGAGCACAAATGGGAACTATATGAAGTTATGGCCCACTAGTTGACTATCCACTTGAATAATAATTTTACAAAGCCCAACTCCAATGCCAAATTTAGTCCCCTATAAACTCCCATTGCTTATCTTGATATGCTGTACAAAAACCTAAGCGAGCTGCATAACCACCACGCCATTCACCATATGAGTCTGTAATAAAACACTAGTAGTAGCTTGACCAAAAAAACATCTATATGCACCATCAGAATTCAGTGTAATCCAACCTTCTGGAAGGGAAAACTATCCAATAAGCACTTATTCTTGTCTGAAGATAGTTGAACTAGTACCACCCTAAGATATTAATGGCGAATGATGTATATTCACAGAAAAGCTATTTATCAGGTTCATGAGTCCCTCTATAGATAAAACTTTATCTTCGAAAACAAAGCATTCCTCCATTTCCATAAAAACCAACAGAAAACTCCAAAAATAATTGTCCAAAGGAATATTGTCAACCCATAAACTTCCTGCGACTCAAATTGAATATCATCCAACCAAAAGTATTAGGCATAAGGAACTGACCAAATTCACTTTGAGACAACACTCTAAGCCAAACTAGTTTTGTTATAAGGTAATTATGAAAAACATGCAAAACAGATTCTTCTTCAACTTAACATCAAGGGCAAGTCATCCCACTCACCATGTGTCTTCAAGCTTTTTCCTTGTTAGTCAGTATACATTCTTGTAAACATTGAAGGAGGAATGTTCTTATTCTCTAAGGGTCATTCCACTGCTATGCCAATTTCCATAACCTATTGTTTATCCCCCCATCAAGAGGTCAAACTCCTCTTAACATCTCATATGCATAAGCTACCATAAATTTCCTAAAAGGTGACATAGCCCAATACAATTCATATGGCCTTGATAAGTCTATGATATAGAGTTATTTAGGCTTAATTTTAACAGTAATTTAGCTTAGTTATTATGGTAATGCATAGAAATTAGGAAGTTTTATTTAAATTATTTTAAATTAATTATTTTAAGTGGGTCAATATATTCTTAGTTAATTTTATGCTTAATTTGGTGTTAATGTAATTACGATAGGTTCTTATTAATTTATTTGTGCTTTTGTAGGTTTAATGAAAGAAGGAAAGCAATTTCAAGGTTTAAACTTTCATTGCTGATGTTTCGGGATTTTAACTATAACTCTCTCTACAGAGGTCCAAATGAAATTATTTTTGGACCATTGGAAAGATACGAGAAAAAGATATAACTTTTATGTTTTCCACTTTGCCTAGTTCAATCAAAAAGATAGTCAAAAATCTTGTCAAATTTGATGCACTGTAGTAATTCTAGAGAAATTATGATTTCCACTAATTAATTGATCGAAGCTATGGCTCAAGTAGTCTGATGAGGAAATCCTGATTGGAATTGACTTCGTTCTTCACCCAACTTGGCTTAACTTCAAAGCCTTATAAAACCAATCTTTCGGAAGACTTTTAGAGGAGAACAAAACACCGGATTGACAGTTGAGAGTCAAGCCACAAAGTCATTGAAGTTAAGAAGAATTTGGAGGATTCAAGGAGATTTAAATATCAAGAATACAATTCTTAAGTTTTTCTATTTTTTGTATTCTTTTATTCTCTTGGTTTTGTTTTTAATGTTTAAATTTTATTTGATTATGATGTATGACTTGATGAGGAACTAAACTGTTTATCTAAGATTATGATTAAACTTAATATATAGTATGATTTATTTATCTTTCTTTTGGTTATGTTTTATGGATTTAAGTTGTTTATTTTATTCTATTCTTAATTATTCTGACTGACTGGCCACTAGTTAGATTAGATTGGAAACCTAAGTTAAACCTTGATGAAGGACATTTAGGTAAACCTAAAATAGAATAGTGTATGATCGAATGCACTTAGTTGATTACGTGATTTGATTTACAGATAGGGTAGACATATACTTATAAGCCATATGTAGCTTAAATTAGAGCATGAACTTAATGAATCTATCTTTAATTTAATGTGCATAGACCTATAGTAAATTAATTGGGAGAGGTATTTTTACGAGGAACTTGACAAAAATTTGTAAATAATTTAGGACTCTAGGTTAACAACTTAATCCATTAAACTAATTTAAGAGATAAAAACAATAATTAGATGAAATATTGAGATGAAACTTAGCACTTGTTTTCTTATTGATTTCAGGGGCGCCGGCGTTCTTGAATGAAGTCTATCCGACGAACCGAATTAGCACTTCTCATAAACTTAGGTCTGGTAGTCACTCGAATTTAATAAAATAATTTTGCTGATAAATTTTGGATTAGTTTTGGTTATTAGTTTCAATTTTTCTTTTTAATAATTAGGTTATTTGGATAAGATTAGGGTGTTAAAATTTTAGTAGCTAGCAATTAGGAATTAATTCAATTTTCTGTGAGAACGAATTCTACTTACTATTATATTACTTGTTAATGATACGTGCATTTACGTGAGAAATCAACAATAGGCCTCATTAAAGAAATAGGTGGAAGAGCATTTAATAATAAATCCAATTCCATTGTAGGCAATAATCTTGTTACTCGACTCAAATCCCACTCTCCATTCAACAGTACAAATTCCCTTACACAACTGTTGTCCACCAAGTTTATTCCTATCAAATTGGCCACCTCTCTTAAGGGATATTCTCCAAGCCAAACATCATGCCAGAACCTTACCAAGCATCCATCACCAATTGACCACCGTATGTGGGTTTTAAAAGTCTTGGAAAGTCTACTAACAGATAACCAAAAAGAAGAGGCCTCAACTTGACTTGCACAATCCAAGATGAAACTTGAGTACAAGTTATACTTAGGTCTCAACACTGTCACCCATAAAGCCTCTAGTTTGGTAACCAAGTACTAGCACACTTTATGTATGAATGCATCATTCATTGTTCGTAAACACCTAATGCCTAAACCTCCTTCATTCTTAGGCTTGCACACATATTTCCAACTCATTAAATGCACTTTCCTATTATTAGAATCCCCTTCTTATAAAAATCTTCAATTCAATTCTCTTACACCTTTCCATAAGAATGGACACTATTTACATGGTATAATGAAGGATGGTGGCCAACATAAATCTAACCAGTGTGAGTCTCTTGCAAAAGACAAAGTTGAAGCCTTCTTAAAACTTAAACCACTTTGGACTTTCTCTTCCACATAGTGAAAGAACTACCCCCTTGTGTCCATGCAATTAAGGAAATCTAAGGTATTTTCCAAGATTTGTTGAATAAGAAAATCCTGAGATTAATGCTAATAATTAACAAGGTCACTAGATACATTATTTGAGCAACAAAATGAAGACTTCCTAATACTTATTTTCTCACCAGAACAACCACAAAAGTCATCCAAGGTTTCTGCAATCACCTTCATTCGAGCACTAGAAGCCTCTGCAAATAAAATTAAATCATCTACGAAGAAAAGATGTCTGAGAAGAGGTCCACATCTACCCAATTTAATAAGCTTCCATATCCCATTCTCCACTGCTACACGAATACTATATGCAAATCTTTTTATACATAACACAAAAATATAAGGTGACAATGGGTCACCTTGTCACACACCTTTAGATGGAGAAAAGTTATCCGAAAGAGTCTCATTCCATAGAATTTGGGAACTACAGCAATTCCTACTACATGTAATTATGACAATCAAAAGTTCAGGAATATGTGCTTTTATCATGGTATCATGCATAAACTCTCAATGAAAGTGGTCATAAGCCTTCTTAAGATCAATCTTTACCATCATCCAACCTAAGTTCCCTTGTTTCTTATGGAATGAATGAACCACCTTCTACACAATAATTATATTATTGGTGATATGTCTTCTAGGGATGAAGCTAGACTACGTATTTGCCACTAAGTGACTCATGTAAGGTTTCAACCGATTTGCAATTACTTGCATCAGAATTTTAAAGACCACCAGGAGTAAGCTAATCAGCAAAAAATGAGAAAAAGTTTCTAGAGCATTATTCTTTGGTCTTAATGTAATTACAAATAACTCCTCATCAACATCTACCCTTTCAAAGAC